AATAGTAGTATAGTCATATAGTTGCCGGGAATTAACCAGTAAAACTGTATACCATGTTGGTATGGTTATATACCATATTGGTGTCATATGGTAGTTTGAACATTTTTTTGGTTGTCTTGGCTGCATTTTTAAGTGAATTCTATTCTGAAATTATTTATATGAACGTGATTTGCAGTGCTGGAATTTATTTGTGCTGATGGATATAGATTATGTACTAGTTTTTATAATTATGGGCAATTGTTGGAACGACCCATACAACTATATACCCTATTCGTATATGGAATGAGCAAGTTGCTTTGTGAATATTTAGCTTGCAATGCGAGCATGTAATTTTCTCATACTTTTATTGTATCCTTTAATGTTTTGGTACAGTAGTATAGTCACAGATAGTTGTAGCAACATTCTAGAGCAATCATATACTCTGTTGGTATACATGTATACCATATTTGTATCATATGGTACTAGAAGTCTTTTTTGCTACTTACATTTTTATTGTATTTTTCAATATTTTATTATCATTTCTATTCTAACTAGTATATATGGAGATTTAGTGGCCGTAGATTATGTTTTCTTGCTCCATCACTGGTTGGTGTTACTGCTAATGGTAGAGTATGTACTGATATTTGTAGGAAAGGAGATCAAGGTTTGCATGACAATCATGTGAAATTAGAAAAGGAACAAGAAATAAAGAAAAAAAATAAAAATAAAAAAAAGTAAAGAAGGAGTCAAATTTGAATGTGAAATAAGTTATGGTAAAAATAACAATAATACGATTTAGGCAAAAATAAATGAATAAAAGAGAAAAAAGAAAAAAATAGGAAGAAAATGAGAAAAAAGAAAAGGAGAAAAGAAAGAAAAAAAGGAAAAAAGAAAAGAATCATAGAAATAAAAAAGAATTGGAGAATAAAGAAAAAAATTCCCCACAAAAACTACTATGGGTAGGAAATATAATTAGTTTATGGGTAGAAAAATAAATGGGTAGACAAGGGTAAATAGTTTTATTTTTGTAGGTAACTGTGTCAAACTCTCATTTTATTTTTGAAGATTTCTTGTTTGATTCAAAGTGGGTGCTGTTAAATATTGCTTATAGTACCTTCTGAAAGTTCATACTGAAATTTGATAGCATATGGAGCTGATTTGAGGTGATTGAGATCGAAATTTTCATTTGAAATTCGAAGAAGAACACAGCTACAGTATACCGCTACGGTATACAATATGCTGTAGGAGTATATAGTTATACTACAACAGTACACTATTATAGTATACAATATATTATTATAGTATACTGTAATAATATGCAATATACTGTAACAATATATTGTAATAGTATACTTATTACCCGTAAGTTCACTTGCCTTTTTCCTTTTAATTTGCTTTAAGCTTTTACCCAGCGTGAGAAGCAAATTAAAAATGCAAAAAAATAAAAAAATATTATAGTATGTTATATAATGTAACGGTATACTCTTACAGTTAGATCCTTTTAGAATTTTTTAAAAATTTTATTGACAACTGATATTATTTTAATTTAATAATTGAATTAAATTTTTTTTTAACCCTTTGCGTACAATTGTATTCCCTGTTGGTATAACTATATACTATACTGGTATCAAATGTTAGTTAATATTTTTTTTGGTTGTATTAGCTACATTTAATTGGTACACAATTTGATTTTTCTTTAGTGATAATATAAAAAAAGAATAATAAAAAATAGTGAAAATAGTAAATGAAATTAGATTATGAAGAGAAAAAGAATGTAAAAAAAAGAAGTTAAATGAAATTAGAATAGGAAATGAATTAGTGTCCAGTTATGAACTTCAAGAGTAATGAATTAGTGTAATGAATTGTGCAATCACAGAAGTATTACTCTAGTATCATTTATGAATAGATGATTAAAAGGATATTTACTTGATTCTGAGGACATAAGTGACATTCTATTGAAAAATTTAGATGGTTCAGCTTAGTGAATACGTTTGAAAGGCTGCTCTGATTTTGCATCTTTCTTAATTTAATAGAAACTTTGTAACCTTTGTTATATTCGGGGGGTCATGGGATCGAACTCCTTCTGAACTTATGTTTGTTTATCTGTGTTCAATTTTTGTTGCATTTACTCTTTATATTTTAGCACTGTGCATTCATAAGTTCTTATTGGTATATCTTATAATTTATAAATTGAATTATGTCAAAGGAGATAAATAATAGTTTGTTATAGCATTTTGTAACATACAACTTCAAGTAAATTTGTGTTTTGTGATTTTTAGGTTTTTCTAGCAAAAGTCGATATGATCACGAGTTTTTACAATGCTCAAGCTTCTGCAGCTTCTTCTTGCTCTCCTTTGACAAGTTCTCCATGTCCAGTTATTAATAACAATATTAATCCTTCCCAAGCATCGGATAAAGTGTGGGATTATGAGCCCGATCCTGCTAAAAGAAAACCAATTTCAGAATATCCTCCTAATTTACGTGACCGTGTAAGAAGAAATTATATACAAAATGGAGCTTGTCAACCTCGTGGTTTTGTCTTTTCAAAAAGAGATTTTGGGGGAATAATGCGTCACTTTAATCCTGAATGGTTTAAAACTTCATGTTCAAAATGGTTAGAATATAGCATTAAACAAGATGCAACATTTTGTTTATGTTGTTACTTATTTAAAAATGAGGTTGGAGGATATAAAAAAAAAGTAGGTGATGCTTTCACAACGGATGTTTTTAGAGGTTGGAATAAAGGTTTAGAAAGACTTAAATCACATGTGGGTGACGTGAGTAGTGTTCATAATCGATGTTTCAAGATGATGCTAGATTTAATGAACCACGAACAATCCATTCTAACTTCTTTGGACAAGCAATCTGAGAAAATTAAAAGTGAACATCGAGTTCGTTTGAATGCTTCAATTGATGTGATAAGGTATCTTTTGAAAGAAGGAATTCCTTTTCGGGGCCACGATGAGAGTGTAACTTCTACTAGAAGAGGCCATTTTTTAAATCTCTTAAAATGGTATGCAGATAGGAAGGAAGATGTGAAAAATGTGGTATTAGAAAAAGCTCCAAAAAATAACACCATGACTTCTCCTGATATTCAGAAAGATATTGTGAATTCTTGTGCAAAAGAAACGGTGAAAGCAATTATTGAAGACTTGAATGGGGATTTTTTTGGGATATCAGTTGATGAGTCTAAGGATGTCTCTCATAAGGAACAAATGGCTCTTGTTCTGCGCTATGTCAATAAAGAGGGTGAACTTATTGAGCGATTACAAAAAGAAATATATTCTTTGCTTTTACAACATTCATTGAGTTCATCTCTAATACGGGGACAAGGGTATGATGGAGCTAGTAACATGCAAGGAAACATCAATGGTCTTAAAACTTTGATTCTGAAAGATAATCCTTCGGCACATTGCATACATTGCTTTGCTCATATTCAGTTGCAATTACCTTGTACGCTGTTGCAAAGAAAAACCATGATGTAAATAATTTTTTTACATTCTGCTTAATGTTTTGAAATGTTGTTTCATACATTGCTTTGCTTATCGCATTGTTCATTATACTTGGAGTTCTGGCAAATTGAGGGTTCAATTAATCAGAGAAAAGCTATACGACCGACCGGTCGTTTTTGAGCTTTTGCATCTGCATCGCCTGTCTCGGGCATGACTTGCCCGTGTTATGCATTATGACTAAGGTAGATCGTTTTGGAGATTATGGATTTCAGGAGAAATTAGAATGAATTTGAAAGAACATTTCAGTGAAAGCTTTAGAATTGAAAGGTTTACCAAGAGTTGAACTTATTTGTTATAGAGCTCAGATCGGAGTTTTTATATGATTTTGATAGCTTGTTAGGTGATTTGTACTTAGGAGCATGAAATCGGAAGTGATTTTGGAAGTTCCGGTGTAAGAATTAGGCTTGAATTGGCAAAAAGTTTAAGTATTTTGCGATTTCGTTGATTGGTGAGTATTTTGATCCGAGGTCCGGAATGGAATTCCGAGAGTTTGTTGTGATGGGTTTGTTTTTGGGAGCGCAAAATTTCAAGGCTATTCGGAAGTCGTTTGTTGGATTGTTTGATCCGAAAGCGTATTTTGGAAGTTTTAGAAAACTAGGCTTGAATCCGATGTAATTTGATGGTTTTTGGTGTTGGTTTGTGGTGTTTTAGATGATTGGAGCAAGTTTGAATGATGTTTTAGGATGTTTGGCACTTTTGGTTGAGGTCGGGGGGGTGAATTCGATGGCCATGGGGTTTTGGACTTGTGACATTTTGAAGTTGCTGGTTCTGGTATTATCCGCATCTGCGGATAAGGGGCCGCGTGGAGTTCCCAGTGTGATGATGGGGTCCGCAAGGTGCGAGTTCATTGGGTTTCCTTTCCAGCAGATGCAAGACTGACCCATAATCCGCAGATGCGGCGTGTGGATCGCAGAAAGCGGATAGGGCCATAAGGTGTTCCGCAAAAGCGGGCAGGTGTCCGCAGATGCGGTGTCGCAGAAGCGGATTTAGACCGCAAAAAGCGGTCCTGAGCCCCGCAGAAGTTTTTTTTTCCGCAGAAGCGGAGA